CCCCAAAACCCCAAAACCCCAAAACCCCAAAACCCCTTAAAAGAGAACTAAGATTGACAATTTATTGTCTTATTAACACAGATGCATGCATGAATCTCTTAGAGTTCATGCTTTGAACTTGTTCCCATTTATCTGAGACAATATCATACCTTTCAACAGTTTCCAAAGCCGATCCATTAAATCCACCAATAGCATAGATATATCTTCAATCATTACTTGAAACAGAGCTTAGAGTGCATCTTTTTTGAATCATTGAGGGGACTGATACCCATTGATCTTGGTCACTATCATATTTCTCAACGCTATTGAGATATTTCTCTCCATCGTATCCTCCAAGAGCATAGACACCGTTTGGAAGACTTACAGCACTGAGAGCTCTCCTTGGATCTTTCATTTTTGCTATAATTTCCCATTTACCAACCTTAATGTCATATTTTTCTGCGGTAATCAATCATTTATTATCAGATCCTCCATATCCTCCAATAGCATAGAGGCAGTTATCTGGGCCGATAGCTGCAGATAGTTCATCTCTCTTCTGGTTTAGTGGAGAGAGTTGAGTCCATTCTTTAGTTTCAAGATCAAATCACTCAACATTATTCCTGATCTTTCCATCATTTCCTCCAATGATATAAATTTTATTGACCATTCAGAGTGCAGAAAATCCAGACATTGGCTTTGGAAGTCTTCCAAAATCTTGAAGTTTATTAGTTTTAGGATTATATTCCTGAATTAAGTCTGTCCTCTTGCCATCACTTGTTTTGCCTCCCATTATGAGTATTCTATCACTAGAGAATCCATTCTCTGAAACATGGAGAAATGAAACGACTGAAAATTTGGTTCTTCCGTCTTTGAGGGGACATGAAATGGGTATCCAAACAGCATTATCTCAAGAGTAATTCTCAATAGTTTCGATAGGCTTGTCTGAATATCCTGCTATAGTGAAGATAGAGTCTATGTTATTCTTCAACAAAATATTGAAATCTATGGATTTCTTAGTCATATCTCCACCGATGATAGAGACTGCTCTACACTGTGACTCAGGTGTTCTCAAGCAGTCTAATACATCTTTGGGTGAATCAGGAATTTCTTTTATCTCTTCAGCCTTTTTAAATACTTCAGGTGATTCATCTCTGTTATAATCTAACAAGGATCCTTTCATATTTGCTCTATTTAAACTCTTGTAAAGGAAATCTTTCTGAACATCTTTATTAGATTCTTTGTCTTTTTTAAGCAATTTTTCCCACTTATTTGAATTGAGGTTCCTTCATTATATTCTCTGAGTGTTTACTCGAGAGAATGCTGGATAGCAGCTGAGTGGATTTTTGATTCTTTCTTTCCGCTCTCTTTTCTTGAAGTCTAGTGAAATTGAACTTTGAGTCAATATTTTCAAAGTTATCTCTATTAGTTTTACTTCCTCTTCTTGAGTTTTGCCCTCTTACTCTTCCTTCTAATTTGAACATCTCTGAAGACTTATTTCCAGCTCCTCTAATATTTTCGTCACAAGCTCTTCTTGGACTCATTCTTCGAATTTGATTCATATTGAGAGGGGTTGTCCCATTAATAATATTTCCTGAAGTTGGTGGAAGGCCCTCTCTTGTATTCTTCTTAATTACCTGAGTCTGGAATTTAGTCTTAGTTTCTTTTCTGATCTTCTCCTGAATACATTCGTCTCTTTTATTAACGCTTCTAAGCCTTGATGTCTTTGTATGTCTTAGATAACTTCTATGAGATCTCTCAGAATCGCGAGCATGACGATCATCTCTTTTATCTTTTCTGCTTTCTTTTAGTGAAGTTTCAGATTCTTCTTTGATTTCTTCAACTTTGAACCCATTGTAATCTTGGTGTTCCTTTGTAGTCTCATTGCCGAAATGCTTTGTATGAGACTGCTTCTTCCTCTTCTGTCTATCTCTTTGCATTAATTGAGTAGACTCCAACAACTTGTTGAAGTTATTTACGTCTATAAATAATAATATTAATGATTACCATTTGATTCATTATTTTTAGGATCTTTTGCCTTTTTGTCTCCACTTGTAAGAGCAGTCAGCTTCTCTAATGCTTTAGAAGGTTGGTAAGAAAAACTAGATGAGCCAAATTTAGTCCCTTCAAATTTCTTTTCGTTCTTTTGATTTCTAGAATTTTGACCTTTAGATACAACAGGCTTCTGATTTGAAGGAACTTCTTCCTCTCTCTTGAGATTTTCAGCATCTCTACTTTTCCTTTCTTCAGTCCCTGTTGATGGTCTAACTGGCTTATCAAAAAAGTGTGCCTTGGCAGAGATTCAAACTGGTGTACTAATCTCTGTGACGTTACTCTCATTTAAATTAGGTGAAGGTTTATCGCACTCTTTAATTTCTTTGGTACTGCTGGTTTTACTCTCATTTTTAAGCTTGCTCCCCTTTGAAGACTTTTTACATTGTTTCTTACTCTTGTGGTGAGTGCTGGAGGTATTGGACTCTTGCTCTTTTAATGCATTCTTAAGCTGCTTTCCAAAATTATTAATTTCTATATCTTTCTTCAGCTCAGGCAGCATAGTTAGCGAGAATGTTCACTCAACAACATTTTTAGTTCCGCTTTTAATAGCATTCTCTCAAGTTTTGGCTTCTTTAAGTACCTCAAGATCTGTTAATTCTGAGATCTTGGTCTGCATCTGATGAAGATGATCAATAGCTTGGAGATGGTTATCTATTTTAGTCTTCTTTTCTTTCATAATCCTCTCTTCTTTTCTGACAGCTTCTTGCATATTTCGAATTCAATCTTCCTTCTTCTTTGTGATTGCTGAGAGTACTAAATCATAGATCTCTTCTATAGATCTTGTATTATTTTCCAGGCGATCAGAAAGATCTCTAAGGTGTTTGCTCATTCTATTTTGCATTTTCTCAAGAGTTTTTCTAGTGCTTTGGGCTTTTGAGATATTTGCTTTGATATCTTCTTTCTGTTTCTCTGCTGCTTTGTCAAGAGAGGTGAAAGAATGCTTCTTGTGTTTATCACTTAGAATACAATCTATTCAAAGTGTAATCTTTCACTCATTGCAAAAAGCTTCAATTTTCTTCTCATGGATATCTCATTCTAAATATTCCATTTCATTTGTTTTAAAGAGAATCTTCGCTGTGTCTGTATGTTCGCTAGGAGATCTTGTTAGGTTAACTACCGGACTTAATGATTCTCCCGAGTCATCTTTAAGAACATCTTCAAAATTAAGGTCATGGACAATCCTATCACTAGCTTGAATTACAGATGTAAATTCAGCATCAAAAGTGCTATCTTTATCTTGAATAAGTTGCTCATCTAAAAATACAAAGACTTATTTTACCTAAATTTAATTTCCTAACTTCCTTCCCAGAGGAAATAACATTGCATGAACTATTTTCGTTCAAATTCGAACTCTGAAAGTTCTCCTTCTCATCTCTATCCAAGAACTTCTGCTCAAAATCTCACTGCGTAGGGGTATCAAACTCCCCAACAATCTCTTCCTGCCCTACTCATTTATTTAAACTCATTAATTCAAACTTTTCAAATTTATTTAATTTTGGTGGGGTTTTGGGGTTTTGGGGTTTTGGGGTTTTGGGG